TGAAAGAAAGCGACGAAATGGAAAGGGAACCAAACTGGTACCAGCCCACCTGCAAAAACAAAACAAAATGTAAAGACCATCAACACTATTAAGAAACCTTGGCGTCAACTAGATGGGGCAAAAGTACAGCGGCCAGGGCTGGCGCATTCAACGTATCGTCGAAGTCATAATGACAGGATCCGAGAATCAACAAATAACAATCTCCTTAAGCTGATAAGCAACTTCAGCAAAGTCTCAGGATACAAAATCAATGTGCAAAAATCACAAGCATTCCTATACACCAATAATAGACAAATAGAGAGCCAAATCATGAGTAAACTTTCATTCACAATTTCTACAAAGAGAATAAAATACTTAGGAATACAACTTACAAGGGATGCAAAGGACCTCTTCAAGGAGAACTACAAACCACTGCTGAAGGAAATAAGAGAGGACACAAACAAATGGAAAGACATTCCATGCTCATGGATAGGAAGAATCAACATTGTGAAAGTGGCCATACTGCACAAAGTAACTTATAGATACAATGCTATTCCCATCAAACTAACATTGACTTTCTTCACAGAATTAGAAAAAAACTACTTTAAATTTTATATGGAACCAAAAAAGAGCCATATGGTCAAGACAATCCTAAGCAAAAAAAGCAAAAAACAAAAAACAAAGTTGGAGGGTCAGGCATGGCAGCTTGCACCTTTAATCCCAGTACTTTGGGAGGCTGAGGTGGGTGGATCACCTGATGTCAAGAGTTTGAGATTATCATGGCCAACATGGTGAAACCCTCTCTCTACTAAAAATACAAAAATTAGCCTGGCATGGTGGCATGCGCCTGTAGTCCCAGCTACTTGGGAGGCTGAGGCAGGAGAATTGTTTAAACCTGGGAGGTGGAGTTTGCAGTGAGCTGAGACTGCACCACTGCACTCCAGCCTGGCAACAGAGCGAGACTCTGTCAAAAAAAAAAAAAAAAAAACAAAGCTGGAGGCCTCACGCATCATGCTTCCTGACTTCAAACTATACTACAAGACTACAGTAACCAAAACAGCATGGTACTGGTACCAGAACAGATATGTAGACCAATGGAACAGAGCAGTGGCCTTAGAAATAACACCCCACATCTGCAACAATTTGATCTTTGACAAACCTGATGAAAACAAGCAATGGGGAAAGGATTCTCTATTTAATAAATGGTGTTGGGAAAACTGGCTAGCCACATGCGGAAAACTGAAACTGGACCCCTTCCTTATATCTTATACAAAAATTAACTCAAGATGGATTAAAGACTTAAATGTAAGACCTAAAACCATAAAAACCCTGGAACAAAACCTAGGCAATACCATTCAGGACATAGGCATGGGCAAAGACTTTATGACTAAAACACCAAAAGCAATTGCAACAAAAGCCAAAATTGACAAATGGGATCTAATTAAACTAAAGAACTTCTCTACAGCAAAAGAAACTATCATCAGAGTGAACAGGCAACCTACAGAATGGGAGAAAAATTTTGCAATCTATCCATCTGACAAAGGGCTAATATCCAGAATCTATAAGGAACTTAAACAAATTTACAAGAAAAAGCAAACAACCACATCAAAAAGTGGGCAAAGGACATGAACAGACACTTAAAAGAAGACATTTATATGGCCAACAAACATATGAGAAAAAGCTCATCATCACTGGTCATTAGAGAAATCCAAATCAAAACCACAATGAGATACCATCTCGTGTCAGTTAAAATGGTGATCATTAAAAAGTCAGGAAACAACAGATGCTGGAGAGGATGTGGAGAAATAGGAGCGCTTTGTGTAAAAGCATTGGTGGGAGTGTAAATTAGTTCAACCACTGTGGAAGACAGTGTGGCCATTCCTCAAGAATCTAGAACCAGAAATACCATTTGACCCAGCATTACTGGGTATACACCCAAAGGATTATAAATCATTCTAATATAAGGGCACCTGCACACGTACATTTATTGCAGCACTATTCACAATAGCAAAGACTTGGAACCAACCCAAATGCCCATCAATGCTAGACTGGATAAAGAAAATGTGGCACATATACACCATGGAATACTATGCAGCCATAAAAAAGAATGATTTCATGTGCTTTGCAGGGACATGGATGAAACTGGAAACCATCATTCTCTGCAAACTATCACAAGGACAGAAAACCAAACACCACATGTTCTCACTCATAAGTGGGAGTTGAACAATGAGAACATATAGGCACAGGGAGGGGAACATCACACACTGGGGCCTGTCAGGGGTTGAGGGACAAGGGGAGGGATAGCATTAAGAGAAATACCTAATGTAGATGACGGGTTGATGGGTGCAGCAAACCACCATGGCATGTGTATGCCTATGTAACAAACCTGCACATTCTGCACATGTATCCCAGAACTTAAAGCATAATTTAAAAAAAAATAAAAATAAACAATTTTCTTCTTCCTTTCCAAAACAAAACAAACAAAAGAAGGAAATGACCCCAAAATCTCATGTCTTAAAATGACATTTATAAAAAATAAACAAATATAATTTACATTTTAAAAGTAAAAAACCATAAAAATATGCTCATTATAGCAGTTTAAAAACAAAAAACTAAAAAGCAAAATGTTATTTTTATTTTATTTTTTGTTCTTTAATACTCCATTGCTCAGTATGTAAAAAATACTATTTTTAATGAAATAATGACTGATGTATTTTTCCCTTTACTGTTAGTTTTTTTGTTTACATTGTATTTTAGTGACTTAGATATATGACTTCTACATGTCTATTTCAACCTTTTTATTTAAAATACATCTTTGCCTAAAGCATTCAACTCAATTTTAGTCAGTACCATTGTTTTAGATTTCCTCTAGAAAATAAAATTTATGGTAACTAGCTATTTAAATGTTGTTACAGTGCTGGTTTCAGCTACTAAATAAAAGTTTCAAAACCTTATACAGATTTAAAATGACTTTGACCTCTATAATTGTATTGTTGCTATATTCTTCCATTAGATATACCTATGGTGAACCTGTGGACGGGAAGGTCCAACTTAGTGTGTGCAGAGAATCTACTGCTTATCATTCATGTGGTCGTCCTATCAGTTCACTCTGTAAAAATTTTACCATTCAGGTAAGAGGTATATCTGCAAAATTATAAATAAGTTTGCATTAACCTTTTATCCTCACCTTCCATTTACCTTCCTTTCTTTTTGTTTCCCTTTTTACAGTTAAAAATACATACTTTTATTCTATATTTCTATTCCTAATTGTAAATTTTATATTCCTCTTATGTCATGCTAATTTTCATTTTCTATTGACTGACAAAAAGCAAATTATAGTATCAGAAACTGAGTAGTAAATTTCAATTCTTCATTAAAAATGGATTTGGTTTCATATCAAAATCTACACCTTATCAATTTTCTGGGAACATATGTCCTGTCTTTGTTTTTTACTTTGTGGATTTAGTCAAGGAGATATGATGATGTTTCTGTGTATTCGAGAGTGTTAGATGTATAATTATTTTCCTCTCAATCTATCCTCACTGGAAATAAGTGTATATAGGAGCTCCAGATGGGAACCCTATCAGTCAGCGTTCTTAACCACTAAAGAGAAGAATCAACTTTTCCAAACTGACAAAGGAGGAATTTCCTGAAAGATCTATCATCTGTGAATACATGTGACTAGTGATGGATGTGTTTATTATCTTGTATATTGACAAAATAATGTCACCATGAAGAGATTTTTAAAACCCAATATTGTAAGAGTTAATATTTATTAAAAATTCAAAGGTAGTTATAGGTAAATCCATAAATACATGAACTGAAAATATAATTATAGAAGTACAATGGATTATTTTATAAAATTGAAACTTGGGTAATACAATATTCTTGAAGTTGCTTCAGTGAGGTTACACATTTTCCCTATTATAGCTATTTCTTACAGTCTTCTTTTAAAATTTAACTTTTCTTTTATTGTTCTTTTCAGCTAGGGAAAGATGGCTGTGTCTCCAAGTTTATTAACACAGAAGCTTTTGACTTAAATCGGGAAGGATACTGGAGTTTCCTCGAAGTGCACGCTCTTGTTACAGAAGATGGAACAGGTAATGCTCTCTAAGAAATCAGATCCCAATGGATATCACTGTCTCATTCGAATTGTTACCTGGTTGCCAACTACACAATGTTAATATAGTCATTTTTTCCCCGAGGGCTTTTCACTGGGTTCATATGATTTGAATTCTGAATGTTTCATATATCAACCAAACTTTTTACACACCTGTTGATGGATGGTCAAGTATTAAGTTCAAATAAGAGTACAATGGAAGTAAGAATGCCAGTTTATGGATTTAGTTTTTGGTTTTGGTTTTAGATATAAAGTATTAGGATTTAGATATAAAGTATTAGGTTTTAGATATAGAGTATTTGGTTTTAGATATAAGCATATCCCTTTTCCTTAATGATTCCACCGATAAATATAATCGGGACATGTAGTTGTTGATGATAAAATTTGTTTGGTGAGCATAGAATTCAAACACGGGAAGTAAAATAGTATGGGGAGAATATTTTACTAAGCCTCTGAAAATAAATCCAGTGAAATATCTTTATCTCATAACCAGGAAAATCTTCCTTCCTTCCCTTCCTTCCTTCCTTCCTTCCTTCCTTCCTTCCTTCCTTCCTTCCTTCCTTCCTTCCTTCCTTCCTCCCTCCCTCCCTCCCTGCCTCCCTCCCTCTCTCTCTCTCTTTCTTTCTCTTTCTTTCTCTCTTTCTTTCTTTCCTTCGAGACGGAGTTTCACTCTTGTTGCCCAGTTTGGAATGCACTGCCACAATCTCCGCTCACTGCAACCTCTGTCTACCAGGTTCAAGCAATTCTTCCGCCTTAGCCTCCTGAGTAGCTGGGATTACAGGTGCCCACTACCACCACCGACTAATTTTTTTGTATTTTTAGTAAAGATGGGATTTCATCATGTTGGCCAGGCTAGTCTCAAACTCCTGACCTCAGGTGATCCACCCACCTCTGCCTCCCAAAGTGCAGGGATTACAGGCATGAACCAGTGGGCCAGGTCAAAAATATTTCTAATGACTAATTTGTGTCTCCTGGACCTAATAACCCTTCCCCCTTAAGCACAGAATGCTAAGTCTTATTCCTTGAAATACTTTTCTCTGTGCTGACCACTTTCTTTCTGTTAATATAGTCTTTTTAAACTTATGCATATATAACCGATATTTCAGCAAAATTTCTGTTCATGAAGTATTAAATTGCTAATGTACTTATATCAGTATTCAAAGTTTTAGAGGTTTCTGTCACATTCAGAGGAAATTCAAGTATTAAACAAATGTTTAATCGATAATTAAATATATTTATCATACTGAACTAAATAAATAATAAAATAATAGCCAGGCACAGTGACTCACACCCATAACCCCAGCACTTGCGGAGGCTGAGGCAGGAGAATTGTTTGAGCCTAGGAGTTTGAGACCATCCTGGGCAACATAGTGAGACCCTGTCTCTACAAAAAATACAAAATTAGCTGGGTGTTGTGTCATGTAGCTATAGTCCCAGCTACCCAGGAGGCTGAGGTGGGAGGATCACTTGAGCCCAGGAGGTTGGGGCTGCAGTGAGCCATGATTGCACCACTACACTCCAGCCTGGGCAACAGAAAGTGAAAGAAAATAAAGAAAAAGGAAAGAAAGAAAGAAAGGGAGAAAGGAAGGAGGGAAGGAAGGAGGGAAGGAAGGAAGGAAGGAAGGAAGGAAGGAAGGAAGGGAGAGGGAAGAGAGAGAGAGAAAAAGAGAAGGAGGAAGGGAGAAAGGGCTTACTAAATGATAACATATGTCTATATTTTTATGAGAATTATGTGACCATTAAAATATAAGTTTTTATAAGATTTTTGCCGAAACCTTATAACATAATGATAAAAACATGTAAAACCACATATACATTTGCACATATTGAGTGTATGTGTGCATGTACACATATACACACACATAATCTCAAACATATTAATATAAATGATAAGTATAAAGGTAAATTGAACGTGTAGGAAAAAGCCTAAAATGTTAATTTTGGTTGTCTTGGGGATATCTGATGTTTGGTAATTTGTATTTGCTTCTTTAAGCATTACCATTTTTAATGATATACATATATTATAATTCTTACTATTAATAAATTAAAGCATATGTTTTAGGCAAGCAGAGAGTAAAAGAAATGTTGTTAATTACTTAGGAATAATGAGAAATCAACATTTACCAATCCATCATGAAGGAATGGTAAGTGAATTGAGTATTTTATGAAAAGCAGTAACACCAGTTGGTAGAAGCATTTTGTGCCATCTTGATTAACTTTCTTTATAAAAGACATCTGAAGAAGAACCTATATATTAAAACTGCTTAGGAAAGGGAAGGGAAACTATTAGAAGGAATGGTGAGCTTTTGTGTTTTATTTTCAGAAGCTCTGTTTGGCTGTTTTTGGAAGTGACATTTTCTCAATAATATCAATTGACTGCAGGTGTACAGCTTACAGGCTCCAAGTACGTATACATCGACTCATCAGTGGTGAAGATTAGTTTTGAGAATATGGATATGTCCTACAAACAGGGACTCCCTTATTTTGGTCAGGTAAGAGAATCAATCATTTTTTTACATACCGTATTCATTCATTCATTTGTTCCTTCATTTATCTATTAATCTTCCAACAGCTATTCCCTAAGAAATTACTACATAGGAATCTCTGTGGTAAGCACTGTAGGCTGACCTACACTGTTGATTTTCACAGTTCTGTCCTGATGTATATGTTTTTTGTCAAGTTGTAACTGTTAATAGTATCCCACTTCACTCTCAAAATGTCCAAGTTTGGACAATAAATTATATGGTCTACATCAGTATTAGGAATAAAATGGTGATGTAGAGAGGCACTACTATCACTGCTTTTATGGAGTTGATAGTGTAACAGAGATAATAAACATTAAACAGATAATTTTATAAATAATTCTTTATTGTAGTTGTGATAGGTGCTATGTCAGTGAAATACTGACCATTTAACTACCCTGCATCAGGAATTGGCAAACCACAGCCCGTAGGCAAATCCAACGGAGGCCTGCCTTGTACAGCCAGTGAACAATGAGTGGTTTTTTAACATTTTTAAAAGATTATTTAAAAAAATAAAAAAAAATAAGAGACCGAGACCATGGTGCTTTACGAAAGGAGTTTGCTAAAATCTGGACTAAATGATCATGGAAAGTTTCCCTGAGGAAGTAATATTTAGGTTGACACAAGAACACTAAAAAAGAAATACGAAAGTGGGTAGCCTGGCTTACATCTTACAGAGCAGTGGTTCTCAAACCGGCATCAGCATCACCTAAAGGACTTGTTGAAACAAATTTCAGGAAAAGTCATTTTATGAACAAATTTAGATTGAAATACAGCTTTGGCAAATAGATACATTTGATACATATTCACTTACTGAATAGTGGTGGATAATGTTACCATAATTTTTTCTAACCTTTCTCTTTGCTTTGTAATTTTTGCTTTATATATTTCCAGGTTCTATTACTAAATATATAAAACTGAGAAACATTATACCTTCAAAGAATATAAAATTTTTTCTGAATATAAAATAATTTTTTCTAGACTTGAGAATTCTACATTTCCTCCCTCTTATGTTGTTGTTACCCAAGATGATTTCCTGGGTTCCAATTTGTCTCCTGTATCTTTTCTGTGCTATTTAAAAGTATTTTCCGCGTAAAGAGCATTTTGTGTGAAAGTGTTATATTTTAGCTTCCTTTCTGAACTTTATCTTCTGAGGTTTTTGTTATTAGTTAGTTAGTTTGATTCGACTGCCAAAGATCTCCAAATTGAATGTTAGAGATGATAGTAGACTTCCTGGTTGTATTTTGCATATTTTGGGGAATGCTTTTTAAAATTTAATCCATAAACCTACTAAGTAACTGTTGAATTTTGTGAGATATACTTTATCAAGTCAAAAAATTTTCCTTTTTTAGTTTACTAAGAATTTTCTATAATGTGTTAGTTTCTATATCTAGCTATTTCTTATTAAATTTAGGTTTTAAAATAGAGGGCATAAAAATATGTTCACTTATGATTTGAAAAAATAAATCTATCATAATTTATTTCCCCTTTTTTATTACTAGTTGTGCTTGTGTTTTTTTCCCATTAGATTTTGGATTTGTTAATTATCTTTATTTTTAATGTTATTTTAAATGATTTTCATTTCATCATTTATTTTTATTATATTTTTTCTTCTACCTCTTTTGGTTTTTTTCCCCTAGCATCTTGTTAAAAATACTTATGTTAAACTTCCGTGTTTTCAAATTTATACAATTTTTCCTAAATACTACTTTCCCCCTCACAGGTGTTTTTCTATACTATTTTTATTTTTTAAATTATGAAAAAATGCACATATCAAATTTACCATCTTAACAATTTTCAAGTTCAATTAAAATCATTTTTGATGATTTCATTATTTTTATTTTTATTTTTACCTAAGAATTACTTGAGTTTTAAGTTTTCTTCTCTACTATGTGTGATTATGGTGGAATTTTTTTTTTAAGTAATTTTTTCTTTTGCAGTAACAGCTACAATTTATTGAGCACTTACTAGGTCTTAAACATTTGCTAAATACATATACAGTACTCACAATAGCCCCAGGAAATGATAGATGTATTTAAGTTTTGGATCAATGATTAATGATTAGTTGAGTAGAAAGCTCTTTTCTACCCTACAATAAGCTAGACATTAAAGACTGACATTCCAATTAATATAATTAACCCTGAATGTATGAAACTGTTTTCTCATAATAATGCACATCTACTGCTAAATGACCACTCTCAAAGTTGCTTTCTTTTTCATGTTCAAAGAAAATTACATTTGCTTTCCTCTGACTTTTACAATAGAATGCTCTTCAGTGCTACTGTAGAATCTATTAAGAAATTCTTCAAAATATAATAAATCAATTTAAGCCCTATAATCAGAGCTTCTCTTTTTGTTGAACTGCTTTGCAGGGGGGAAATGGCATACATATACAAAATAATACTCCCCTGAAACATACAACACTGACTCCCAAGAATATTGATTACTTTACTATTTGTCAAACACTGTTACATGCTACCAATGTTAGATGAATCAGGACTCCATTTTCAGTAACTATGGTTCTTGGAGTCCTGGATAACTTAAAAAAATAGAGACCAGTCTGGCTAAGGAAATTTAAAAGTTCTCTAACTCTCAGTCGGACACCTTGGGAACTAGAATATGGATATGTCCCACCCAGTTCCCAGGAGTACATTATGAAAAAGTCTATATACATTCCACATCCTCTGCAATATCTCAAAACTCTCTTCTAGTTCCAGCATCCTCCCATCACCACAAATATCAAGAGTATTGATCAAGGAGGGGCAAGCCTGCCACTATATCCTTCACTCACAATTCCAAAGATGTTTGTCCGGGAAATTCTGTCTTATTTTCATGAGCTCTTAGCATATCGTGATAGCAAGACATTTTCCCATCAAGTATACTGCTTGGCTAGCATCAATAATAGTTCAAACACATAGCAACAATTTATGTACTTCACATCAACTAGGGGAAAGGTGACAAACATTGTAAGACAGCCTAAAGCAAAGGTTATCACCAAGGTCTGTGTTTAGGAGATAAAACATGCAAGATAAACAGAGGAAGAACATTGACTAATTCTGGGGAAACATGGGGAAGAACTATAAACAGCTTAGCAGAGAGAAAACAGTTCACTGATTCACTGATTTATAATAAAATCCATTCACAACACTTATTTGTAGTTACTTTTATGGTAGATAATATTCAAGTCATATTAAAGTGCTTCAAGCAAAATTTGGCAACTCCTGTAAGGCTTCCTGCTGCTCATCATCAAGTTGGGATACACATTCCAACCATAAATCTTCAGAAGTCTGTACCTGACGCATGACATCAGCTAGGCGTTTGGCACAGGGATCTTCATAGTTAATAGTCCCATTAATTTTTTTCTTCTGCAATGATTCTGATTATTTTGGGAAGATTGGAATTACTTGGACCAATTACAACTGGGTGGTTACTGTCACTTAAGTCACAGAGAAAAGTCAAAGTCTGAATAGCTTCCTCTTTATCTTCATGCAATGGAAGCCATGATAACCAGTGTGGAAGACCTTCAACTACATTTACACAGTTAGGCTTAAACGTCAAAATCTTCCCTATTGCGAAGATACAGTTTTCTGTAGCAATGACATTTCTTTTGGTTTTGGAATTTGCACACTTAATAACTTTTACCAGCAGTGGAACAGCTTGTGAACATAAAGAACGATAATCATCTCCAACAAATTATGCCATGACACTCAGGCCATAAGCAGCAGCTTGCCTGATTTCAGAGTTGTTATCTCGCATATTTAGTAGCATTGGTCACTGAAAATATTCTATATTTTTAAATGAAGTTGGACTGCAGTGCTCTATGATGTCATCAAATGTGCACAGTCCCCACTGTCTGTCTAGCCATGGCCTACTTGAACAAATTAGATTTACAATTCATGGAAGTCGTTGTTCAAATCACGGTAAAGTCTTTTCCTTTAAGTACTAAATAATGTGTGCAAGATATCTGATACTTTGGTCAGAATCTAAACATCAGATTCATCCTCATCTTACAGAGACATCTCAGCCTTTTGATCATAGTTTTCTTCCTGTCTTTTCACCTGTCGCAATTCTTGGTTTTTAAAGTGCCCTTCAAATTTTGCTCTCAGTATTCCTCCCAGTTCTTCCAAGTATTCATCATTAAAGCAGTCATCTCCCATAACTTCAATGAACTTTGCAAAAGAATTCATTATTTCTGAGAGCACGTATGTATCTGTTTCAGTACCAATAGCCTAGATTAAGGGGTTACATATGAATTGCCACATCTGTGCAAGATACTGTAGCCACAAATTCTTGCACATTCCAGGAGAAAAGGCACGGACTCTGCTGCTGTCACTCGAACATTGTCGTGGAAATACATTTCAGTAAAGGAAGCATCAGCTTCACAACTTGTTCTGTATAGTCCACAAACCCTTCCCTTAACTCCTTAGCAGAGTAAACCAACATCTGGCTAGCAGTTGCTTTTGCTTCAAGTCCTGAAGTTTTAATTCCAAAACCCTGTTGGTCTCCAAGATTTACATATTGCCAGCCATCATCATCACTCATATTCTCCATATCCTGTGTGTCTAAGAGAGCAATACCAGGTTTAGCTGAAGCAGTCTTAATAAGAGGCTCGATAACCAGTGGAAGGAACTGTTGAAAATCTTTTCCAAGAATCTGACACATTTATCCCATGCTGAAACCATGTAAGAGGTCTGAGGGCCATTATCTTCCATATTATTTAAGTCTGATTGTGTCTTCAACAACAGCTGCATCACATTTGATGCATCTTGCATAAATTTTTTCTTCCCAACAGCAAGACCAATATGGCCAATGCACTCAATAGTTTTTCCTCTCAGAAGCTTGAGTTCCTTCTGAACAGCAAGCGCAACGATGTGCTTTAGTGAGTGCATGAATATATCATAACATGGGAAAAAATTTTCTTCGATTGTATCTGCAACCGATGCAATGGTTGCCCCAAGTTATTCCAGGGCCAACTTAGTTCCATTCTGAATCAACTCTTGAAGTTTAATCACCAAGATAGAATGTAGATTTTTCACCATACTGTCCAAATACAGAACTGGGAATGATTTGAGGCATCTTCAATAAAAATAACAAGAGCAGAAGCTGCATGTGATTACACGCGCTGATTACCTTGATTTTCCATGGTACGTAACAGAGCTGCAATCACCATTTCATGAAATTTCTTTCGGAAATTAGGTGCAAAATCTGTAGCCATCTGTCCAAGTGTAGTACAGGCTGCAGCCCTCACCCTTGGATGAGGATCCTGGGATATTTTCATAGATTTCCTCTTCTTGCCTCCCCACCATACAGCTTGGATTGATGAGGTTCTTCAGAAGCTGATAAAACTCTTGCTTTTCCGACAAGGTCGCCGGCACCCCTGCAGACGTGGTTGCCGCCATTATGCGCTGTCAAAGCTACCACGACCGGGAAAGAACATAAGTAATTTTTAAATTGCAGACAACACATATATTAGCAAGAAAAATAACACTATAAATTCAAATAGGAAGAACAATGAGCACCTCTCCCCTCTAATCCCTTCATTTCGTGAATACTTCCCCAGAAGCAACTACTTTCAGTCCCCTGTGTTTCCTATAAACCAGTAGAGAGGTTCAGAAGCTTGATCAGATTCAAGTTCATTTTTGGTGGGTACAGTAGGCAAGAATATAATATAGGTAGTGTCATGTACTTGTCACAGAAAGCACTCTTCCTCTCTTACTGAGATGTTAGCAGACATTGACAATAATTATTTAGATGCATTGTTTGTCTGAACCATTCTTTCTTAGCCTAGGCACAACTGAAATTTTGGGCCAGATAATACTTTGCTGTGCGGGCTACCCTGTGCATGGTTAGAGTTTAGCAACATCCCAGGTCTCTACCTACTAAACGCTAGTAGCACCATCCCCTTCCTATTTGTGATAGCACAAAGTGTTTGCAGACATTGCCAAATGGTAAAATGTATTGGCCAATAAGTTAAAAAGTGATAAATTAGAATTTTGCCGCTCTTAGAATAGTGATTCTCAATGAAGGGTTATTTGAGATGTTTTTAAAAAGATTACCTAAATCCTATTATCCCATCTAAAAAATTAGCAATAATCCCCTAAAATTTGCCAGTCAATCATGCTCCAGATTAACTCAGGGGTTTTATTTCTGTCTTCTCTAGCATAAGACATGGTTGAGAGGTGTGTGTCTGTGTGTGTGTGTGTGTGTGTGTGTGTGAACTTAAGCCCTAGCCTAGTCATTAAGGCCCAGCTCCTTCCCATTCCCTCTCAAAGCTTTTTGAAACTTCAAGGTATCGTATTATCTTATCCTATAATCAAGAACTCCAAGACATCTTTTCCTATAGAGAGCTGGGAAAGCCAGCTGAGGTTTGTAATAATTTATCAGGGTGGTAGGGGATAGGTGGTACCTACATGAATCAGGCATCCCCGCGGACAATGTAGTCTGTTATTAATATATTGTCATGCAGGTACAGTGTCCTGCCTGGACACACCCTCTTCATTAGCATTTGAAGGAATCAGTTCTTGAAAACTCGTATATAAGAGCTCTTATTTCCTTGATCGTTTTAGGGAGACCAATGGCAGCTATAAACAGATGTGAGTCTCAAAGAATAAAATGTTTTAGTTCAAAACCATGGTTGTATAAAGTGGTATCTTTCGGATTTTTGGCCATTTCACAGTGGTAAATGTTCTGATCACTTTCAGGAGATGTGCCAGGAGAAACAAGTCATTCCTGTTCTACTTTTGGAAAAGGGACTGGTTTCTCTGTGATAGAGTGAGTCACTATAGTAGCTGTGTTAGTGGAAATTAAAAATGGTTTATCTGGCCATGTGTTGTCATAAGGGTCATCAAACACGTGGCTCAGTATTACTAGGGAGCATTTTTGAAGGGTAAGCTTTATTGCCAGAATAGAGGTACTATCTGCTTTTTAAATATCCCCTACAAAGTTCAAGACTTCAGAGGTATGACTCCAAGAGTAACATATTTGAACATAGGAAGCTGGGCAAGGCAGAGAGCTAACAAGGGAATTCCTTCACAAGAGACAGTAGCAGCATCCGTGGATGGCTGAAATGATACTGTTTAAAATTGTAGGACATATGACAAATACCTCTGCCACAAGAAACATCTGCTAATGAAGTGCTGCATGCCTGGCCCCAGCAGTTGATAACGGGCCTGGTGTCATCACTTGGGCACTATTTGGGTTTGGGGACAAAGAAAGAAAGGAAAGTGCCCAGAAATCATATGGCTTGTTCATCTTCCTGTGACGAGAAGGGACTCAAAGGATCTTTCTAGTCTACGTGTACTAAAATTAGAGGAACCTCTGTGTGATCCTAAAGGCATGGTGTCATGTGTCTGTGGCCTATGGATTGCTGAGACAAGTTGAATTTTTCTTACAAGATCAAGCTATGAGATGAAACTACATTCAAAATCTGTGTAGATGGTGCAAATGAGGCATAGGTCTACAGATGCTGAGCAAGAAAAAAGGATTGTGTTTGCTTGGACCAGCAGGAAAATGATAAGTGGCAGAAATAAGATGAAAGGCTCAAAGCAGAAGTGGTTTTGCAGAAACTGACTGAGCTAAAAAAAGGATGTCTCAGACAGTTTTTGTCTGGCTATTGTGGCCTTAGATGTTGCTAAGAAGGTTGCCTTTAAAGGCTTCAAACTGGCATAGATACTGATGCAGGCATTGTATCTACTATATATAATACAATTTCAGAAGGGACTTTTTAAAGCAATCATTGCCTGTACTAGTAAGAGAATTAAAAAGAAATTTCTAGTGAATAACCATGGCCTATCAGAGCAGTCACTACAATGTTTTAGGGAGGACGATGCTAAATTTTGCATTTTAGAAAATTTGGTTTGATGCCAGTATAGAGAAAGAACAAGCAAAAGCAATACAGGAGAGAGAGACTAGATAGAAAAAATAGAAGATGTATGAGGGATAAAAGATAAGAAATTGATATAAGGAATAGAAACAGGAAAGAATGTGATCAGTTGGAAACAGAAAATGTTAAAAAGATACAATTGAAAATATTTTATCAACAATTGAAAATTATAGGAAAAAGAAAATAAGTCTAGGATGTCTCTAGATACTTGACTTCAGTAACTAAGTGAATGGTTGAGGTATTCACTGAGATAAATAAGAGAAAGAGAAAAAAGGGAAGTGTGGGCATAGTAATAAATCATTCCAATTTGAGGGTTTCTGTAGCATTTTTATTATAAAAAATATTCAGGGTAGTTAATGATATGGGCCTGAGTTTTCAGAGATCTTTGTGGGCAGGAGAAACAGAATTTAGGCTCTTTCGTGTATTAATGGTGCATGTCATACACTCAACAGGAGTAGATGAAGCCTCCCAGGAAGTGCATACACACCAAGGAGAGCGGGGGTCCCCATGATAGAACCTTGGCAAATGCCGTCAACATGGATTCCCAAATTTACTACATGCTTCAGAAATGTATTTTCTTCCTCCTGTACAGATTAAATTGCTTAATCCAGACAACTCTCCAATCCCAAATGAAGTTGTCCAGTTGCATCTGAAGGACAAAGTTGTGGGCAACTACACCACAGATGTAAATGGCATCGCTCAGTTTTTCTTGGACACATCTACGTTTACATACCCAAATATCACTTTGAAAGTAAGTTAAACCAAAGGCAAGTAAAACAAAAACAAACAAGCAAACAAAAACACTGCACTGGCTTGCTAAGGTTTAGGTCTATGCGAGATTATATTTATGGAACAGAAATGAAAAGATACATCTCGGTATGAATCTACAGTACCGAAAAATGGTTAAATATTAAGAATATAGACCCTATGAAAAGCAGATTAAAAAATATTTCAAGAGTCCTGGGAAAAGGACGGATAGCATACATATTAAATTGTATAAAGGAGAATTAGCTGAAAATAAGCAACGCTTCACTTTTATTACGGAAATAGAAAGAGAATTGTGTTTTTATAGAAGGAAATACTTGAGAAGTCCTGTAATGTATTACCTTGGAATAATGTAAAGAATTTCTCTGGATATATTCGAGAGAGAAGTAAACTACTATCTGTAATAATTATATATCAATCTTTCTTAGATATTTTTAAAGGACTCCTCAGACTTTTTGTGTTGAGAATGGTAAATTACTATGGTCAGAGTAAACTCCTTGCTGTATTTCATAAAAACTTTCCCGTCCGGGCGTGGTGGCTCACGCCTGTAATCCCAGCACTTTGGGAAGCCAAGGCGGGCAGATCACGAGGTCAGGAGATTGAGACCATCCTGGCTAACACGGTGAAACCCCGTCTCTACTAAAGATACAAAAAATTAGCCGGGCGTGGTGTCGGGCACCTGTAGTCCCAGCTACTCGGGAGGCTGAGGCAGGAGAATGGCGTGAACCCGGGAGGCGGAGCTTGCAGTGAGCTGGGATCGCGCCACTGCACTCCAGCCTGGGCGACAGAGCGAGACTCCGTCTCAAAAAAAAAAAAAAACTTTCCCATCTTTCAGCAAAACTTCATATTATGTTATCAGTAGCAAGGTAAACTTTTGCACTCACAGGTTCTTCATATTATAGTGAGGGAGATATAGTAATCTACATTTTAGCAAAAGTTAATTATAGTAAAGAATACAGTAAAATATTTTATGTAATATTATTTAATTAGGACTTGAATAGACTAAGTTGTAGAAACCATAGTGGTCGCTCTAGAGTATAACTAGAAAATGGGGAATTGGCTTAGACTTAATGTAGAATGGCTGTAAGATGTTCTTGTAGAGATAAAGCAGCATGATGATAAACCATCTTATCAAATACTCTTTCACTCCTCCTTTCTCTTTATCCTAAAATACCCATAAATTTGATTTTTTGTCTAGGCAGCCTATAAGGCCAATGAAAATTGCGAGGCTCATGGCTGGGTGTTGCCTCAATACCCTCAGCCCGAGTACTTTGCATACCGATTTTACTCCAAGACTAACAGCTTCCTAAAGATTGTCCAAGAGATGGAAGAACTGAGATGCAACCAGCAGAAGAGGGTGCTAGTGCACTACATTCTCAATATGGAAGACTTTGAAGACAAAACCTACACAGCAAACTTCAATTATTTGGTATGAACTGAAAATATTCTTCCACATCCAAATTTGTTTCTTTTCTTTAAAACTTCTTTGAACCTAATGAAATCCCTGTACCTATATGCCACGAGGAAGCTCAAAGTAAACATAAATGATAAAACGTATATAACTGGTATCTCTTTTTAAGAAAGGAGGGAAAAGGCCATGCCACCACAACCCGTATGCCCTCTGTCATTCTCAGGCCCTTTCTTCAGAGTTACTCATTTCTATTTGGACATAGCTGGGATCAAATCTTAGTTCTGATACGTACTAGCTTTGTGTTACTTTTTGAAAGTCACTTAAACCTCTAGAGAATGTTAATTTTTTGTAATATATTGTCTAATTTTGTAATATATTGTCTAATCATCAAGATAAGTATTTAATAATACATATAAACCCTTTGCCCAACTTCTGGCACACAAAAGATATTAAATATTAGTTTGATTTTAATATATTGCTATTATGGAATATTTTACACTGTCTAAATGGATGCATGATACTTCACTGAGATTTATGAGGATGATATAAAATTAATGAAACATGAATTAACTCAATCGGCCAACACTTACTGAATCGTTTTCATATTCCAGGTACTGTATTAGCAATTGTAACAATAGAAAAAATAGAAAAAGTATAACTGGGGACAAAACATAAATTAGAATTACATAAGTGTAACAAATGAAACATGTATGGCCACTAAGGTGTTACAGAAAAATGAATAATTAACTCTAGCTAGAGTTTAGAACAGTGATTACTAGAGTATATTTCCTAGAGTAGCAGTATCAGCATCACCTGGGAATAAGTTAGAAATTCTGGGAATTCAAGTGGCTGGGCACGGTGGCTCACGCCTGTAATCCCAACACTTTGGGAGGCCCAGGCGGATGGATCCCGAGGTCAGGAAATCGAGACCACCTTGGCTAACATGGTGAAACCCCGTCTCTACTAAAAATACAAAAAGAAATTAGCCGGGCGTGGTGGCGGGCACCTCTAGTCCCAGCTACTCCGGAGGCTGAGGCAGGAGAATGGCGTGAACCCGGGAGGCGGAGCTTGCATTATAGGAGAAAGAAAATAAGTCTAGGATGTCTCTAGATACTTGACTTCAGTAACTAAGTGAATGGTTGAGGTATTCACTGAGATAAATAAGAGAAAGAGAAAA